GCGTTAAAAGATATAAACACAGATATATATATATATATCGCGACGAGGACGAGGAGCAAAGTCATCCCCCGCGCCGCGAGGAATCCGCTCTCGCGTACCGCGCCGTGAGTACGTGCGCATCGTCGAACGCGGGGCAGGAGAAGAAAGAGTATACAAACTACAAACGCGCGGAGAGGAGACCTCCGTTCCTTCCTTCCTTACGAGTTGCGTTACGTTCTATGTCGCGTACGTCGTACGGCGGTTGCGTTGGCGCACGAGAGAGAAAAGTCGTGCGCGCGGTAAATATATCCCTCTATCGGCCACGCCACGCCTCCCGCGGACGTCAATAGGCAGTGCCGTGCCTACGCGTGTTGTTGGCGAACGTGCGTGCCGGTGAACACGCGTGGAGTACCGCGGCACAGCGAGGTGGCCTCAGACTTGAAATCCCAGACTTGTTCTTTTTCCATATCCCAAGAAATCGATCTTGAAACGAGATGAAAACTGCAAAAATGAGCGAATTTACTAGAATATTTATAATGTCATTTTGGTCAACATCTGGTAAACGATATTAAGTGAAAATCGACCGATGAGATTAAACACACATTAGTGAAAAGTGACCTACGTCTGCTCACTTTTGTAATTTTCACTCCTAGAGAGTCGATTGTGTATCTTGAAATGAAATAAGTGGATTCTGTATCTTTTAAATGAGATGAAAATTACAAAAGTAAGCAAATTCATTAGGTATTGATCAATTGAATTATGAATATTCTATATAAGTGAATTTATCGATTTTTGTAATTTTCGTTTAAAGATACAGACTCGACCTCCTGGACTAAAATTCTTGTACAGTTCTTCATTTTTTTTCTCTCCAATGTGAAAAGAAAAAGTAGACGAACTGTGCAAGAAGTTTAGTCCTGGGAATCAATTATGTAACTTTCCCTAGAAAAATATGTATATACATACATAAAAAATATTCACTTTCCCGTTTTAAAGTAAAAGTTATATGATTAATACTCTAGGATATGCATAGAAAAAGAACGGGCCTCCTATATAAAAATCTAGCCGAGATGACAAACTTTTGATTAACCCATCATTTTTATAAACTTCAGTAAGTTAGAATAAGATAGTATAAGTTAGAGTGAGGTATATAAAAAAGGACGACGTATATCCTTCTTTCCCACTTCTGTTTTAACAAAATTGTTCTCGGCCAGACTTTGTTATTAGAGTCTAACCTTAGATAGAAATTCTATATCAGAGTCTGGTGATGAGCGATCTTGTCAAAATCTTAAGAGAAAAATATATATATTTTTTTTCTGTACATATACTGTCTCACTTTAACTTATACCGTTTCACTCTGTAACATTAATTAAGATTATAAATAACTATAAATGATAACCATACTTTATTGTAAAGGACAGTCTTTTATTTCAAGTATCTATTTTTTAGATTTAGATTTATTTATTTTTTCAAACTCGATTTTATCCTTTTAATAATATTACAGAAAATTCCTTCTAATCAGAATTCCAATGTCTAATGTCTCACTAATGAGCGAGTTCACGAAAACAACCAACAAATTTAGTTTTATGCAAGGGCTCTATTAGCCGAAACAGAACAACAAAGTTATAATAACGTCGAAATAACATCATAATTGATTGAAAAGTGACTTTTAATAATCACGTTTGCAATTATTTTATCATTCTGATGTTATAATGACTTGTACTTTGGACCTTTACTTGGGAGTTATTTCAAATATTTTACGCAAGAAATTTTCAGAAATTAATGCACAGACTTTTGACAGTCATAAACTAGTTTAGAAATATTTATGAATAAAGTCCTAAAATTTTTAGGTTTGTCCTTTATTTTCTCTAAGAAAAAATGATCATCGTATCTATATCAAAGTTTGGCCACGAGTAATTAAATTTTATACGAGAGAGAAAGGTACATAATTACATATACATTTTCCCTATCCTTATTTCCTATTTTCCTCATATATACTATCTCACTTTAACTTATACTCCCAAATAAGTTAGTCTAATAAATAATTACTTAAATTGCCCGTAATATTGAGAAAAGTGGCTTCTGATTTTGCCTACTGGAATATATGTAGAATGCCGATATTTATTACCACCAATAAACAACTTGATGACAAGAGTTCCCTTTTATAAATAGATTGTAGCAATTTTTACAACTGAAGGGAAACATGTACCAATTACTATTTCCTTTCTCATAATTAAGAGCTTGACTATCTAGGTTGTTTCACTCACGATAACTTTAATTAAGATTATAGAGTGAGACAGTATAAATTAGAGTAAGACAGTCTATATGCAGAGCGAAATTATATATATCTTTCTCTCTCGCAGGATTATGACAAAATCGCTCGTGATTAGACTCTGATATAAGGTATCTAGCTTCAGGCATCGTCGATCAAGAATCGACGTGATTTTTCTTCACTAACGAGCTAACAAGTAAACAGAGACCAGTGACATTAAGATAATCGCTGTCGGACAAAAAAATTTAACAACGTCTGAATAAAGGATCACTCGCGGACAAAGAAGCCGGCTTGAGCGTTTATCTTCTTATTAGTAAATAAGTTTCTAATTCGATTTAAAGACTTGATACAGACGAGAGTAAACAAAGTTGAGAGAGTAATTTAACTGCTGAGATAATAATTTGCTTCGGTTAACGAAGATCGTCATCTGAGTGAATAAATATTACAAAAATAGCCAAGTAGAAGAGAGAGAAAGAGAGAACATAGAAGATATGTAACGCAACAATTTTAAAGGAGGAAAGTTCAAATTAATCGGACGGTTCTCGTTTCAGAAAAAAAAGGCCAAAGTTATTTGCGTGCAACTTGGAAAATAAGAAGCTGATAATCGTCACGAAATATGTCGTGTCGCAACCGTGATATTGGTAGTTGACAAATAATATCAATGGACCAATCGACAGGGATTGATATTTCCCAGCGGCAGCGTACCGTTGACCGTAAGCCTGTTTCTTTTTGGCTCAACTTTTGCACCAGTTTGTCTTCCTTCTTTTTCTTTCCTCCTGAAGAGAAAAGGAAGAAAGATGAGGTACAAAAGTTTAAGTTAAAAAGAACAGGCCTCGTTTCTGTCAGAGCGGGGCTTTTACGCACGAGCGGCGATCGACGTTATCGCTGAAGCCAATACGTTGTCTCTCGCCCGACTCGGTTCCCAGGAAAATCCCTGACGGGGGATTCAGGGATCGCGTATCCGCGACGATTTATTCATCGGGTAAATTTCGAATTTTTGCGCACTTGGACGCAGTATCTAGGAGGTTTTCTTCGAAAAATCTTGAATCATGTGAATCCCATGACGATCGGAAACGTACGTCATTCCGGATATTTGTCAGCGTGCGTATTTGCGCAATAATGCGTATAATGCATTGCATTGCGTCTGAAGTTGAATTCGAAGCGACTGGAAAAAAGATCTTTTTTTAGAAAAAGCTTTGTTGCGCGCGAATGGAGATGAGATGATAATTCCTACGTTTTCTCCAAAAGATTTCGTAAGAGGAAATTATAACTCAAAGTGAAATAAGCAATAGTAAGTGGAAATCGACTGAGAAATGTTCGGATGACCTCATTAACTTATCAAAGTACTATTCTGAAATGTCCTTAGCTTAGATTTTCACTTTTTTCAGTTTATTACGATGAAAATGCAAAGAGAATGTGATCTTTCTTTATTATAACGATTTATTACTTTCTTTATTACAACGATTACAGGGACTTTTCTATAACGTGCGGAAAAATGCGAATCAGTATTTTATATAACTAAGTATATAAATTAATAGTCAAACTAAATCAGAGATATACAAATATAAACTGGATATTTAATATCGTAATTCGATTGCGATTATAAGAAGGAAAATTTTATCAAATGTAATATTTAACTTTTACACGCTCGTTATATCATGTTACGTATGTATTAATATAAATATACATATGTATTGTATAAAATAAAATGTCAGAGTCTACAGTAATCTTCTTTAATATCTCTTCTAAATTATTAAATTGCACTTTGCAATCTTTTCCACACTTTGTACCTTTATATATTCTTTTATACTTTTATATCTTTTATAGTCTTGTACTTTTTATTCCTCTTTCCTATTCACAGCCTGTAAATTGCTTCATTTTAAAAATATAAGAAAATGTAAGAAAAAAGTTAAGTCCAACGAATCTTTTTAATTTTCTAAATGACAAACATTATTATAATAGTTAAGCATGTCCAAAACAAGATATCTCAAATTTGTTGCTAAGTTTTTTCGTTTTATCTTAAAAGATACTTGAAGAAGATTGTTAAAAACAGTCATACGCAAGCAAGAGAAAAGAAAGATGCTTGCCTTCCTAAATTTTGACAAATAGAAACAATTGAATTATATAAAACTCATTCTTATGATAAAGATCATAAAATTTATCCTCACACAAAGTTTATTAAGATACTCACATTAAAACCAGTCTTCGCTGAAGGTCGACAGTATAAATATTTTAATAAATTTTGACCATCCTCTGACTGGATACACTTATACAGTTGAAAGTTTATTACCTGTTAATGGAGTTGACACTGAATGTAGATATTAAATCGAATAAAATCGGAGTTTGTTAAATAAATGCAGTTTTTATCGAACTTACAAGATATTCTATTTTGTTGTTTTTGTCACTGCAATTTCTCGAGACTTCCAAACACGCGTCAGTTTCCAAACCCTATTAGCGGTTAGCTGGCACCGCAGTTTTTGAGCAGCTAAAAACTTATCTGGCATCAAGTCGTGATAATGAGTGGAACGGAAGTTTCA